TTTCTGCAACAAGACCAGTGTTGCAAAACTTCCTCTTCTCTAATTTACTGCAACAAGATCCATATTGCAAAACATCATTTCTCCAATTTTTTGCAACAAGACCCTTATTGCAAAAAATGTAACAACATCTCCCCCGTGTGTAAATTTCTGTACAAAAACGTGATGTAACTTCTGCAACAGATTTAATATTGTAGACATTTTTGTAACAGAAGTGATGTTGCAGAATTGTTTTTCTTCATTGCAACATAGATGATGTCATGGAAGCAAGTTTTGTAACATGGTTGTTGTTGTAGAAAAAAAAAGTGAGACGTTAGGCGCTGCTTGCGAACCTTCGCCCGGAAGCATTGAGCCATAATGGTGCTTTAGGTTGTCCCTCATCCGCTGCAGCTGTTAGAGTTGTGTCGAATATTATTGTACAAGTTAGGTTACAGTTGGACTTGGAGTCGTACTGTGTGTAGACAGGGTAGGAGTTGTGTCCTAATAGGACACTTGTACCCAAGGCCTCTCATATATAGCGGGGTTAGACACACGATGTAACCTATGCCAACATAATAGCACGGGCACGCGGGGGGAGCCGGCGGCGTGTGCCGGCGCCCGGGCGGCCGGGGTGCGGTATTGTGACGGTGTTATGGGGAGGAGCGCCCGTAGTCATACCCCGGGGATGTAGCCATGATGGTGAATCTCGTTAACAAATCTCGGTGTCGTGCTCGTGTGATTGCTTGGTCCTCGTATGATCAACGGTATGCCTCGGATTTATTCTAACAAATGGTATCATGAGCAAGGTTCGATGAGGTTCCGGTGGCTGATCTAGAGGTGAGGCCGAAGGTTGCGTAAGAAACTAGTTCGATCGACGGTGTCAGGCGATCGGGATCAATTTCGTTGGTCGACAGGAAAGCCGGGACGATCGATGGATTTTTTCCGAAGCAGCAAAAGTCGGCAAGTACAAGAAGCAATCGGAAGGAGCAGCCGTGCAACAGGCGACCGAGCATACGGCGGCGACGGGATCGCGCAGGTTCTCGACGAGATCGGGATGATGTGCAGCAGCTGGACTCCAGTACCGGATCGATCGGATGCGGCGGCGTGCAACACAGGTGTTGGCAGTCGACGCGGGATCGCGTAGCAGGCTTGCACACCCTGCTCGTACGGATGCGGCCCAGGACAGGCGGCTCCAAGGCGGGTTGCGTAATCGAGTGGAAGGCGGTCCAAGGTTATCGTGGCTCGGACGTGAGCAGGTTGGAAGGGCATGGATGCACGTGAGATTTGTTGTGAAAAAAAGGAATTGGAGCATGTCCCAAGAACGAGGTGTAGAGAGACGTACGCACATGTCTCTGTGAGACTGATGTTTCGGAAACAGGATGTCATGCAATGCAAGGGCGTGGTGGGTGCATGTTGGTACGTGTACATGCGGAAAACTATGCATGCTATGTATATCCATGGTGTGGCTGTGTGAAGCAAGGTGGAGCGGACGTGAGCGTGTTCAAATTTGCACATTGATTGGATACTCTACCATTGCAAGACCAGAGTAATCGTGGAGTTGTCAAGGAATCTGGGACAAGTTTCAAGGATGACGACAAGCGTATAAGGCTCGGAGGAGTCTGGAGCGTGTCGTGGCAGGATCATGCATACACAGGGCGTCAAAGGCAATGCATAGATGTGCGGGCGGACACGACGTGGGGTGGAGCATGGTTGCAGTCGGATAATTTTGGCTGGGTCGGACTGGATTGTCTGATGGACTGACATGGATGTTGGTCAAAGCAGAAGACGGCGGTGATTTCAGCGACGACGACACAGGAGCGTGATGCTGATGGTGGCCGACTTCTGGGGCGTGGAAACACGTGGTGCAGGTCTGAGGGCTTGTGCGGCTTTAATAAGACTACGACGCAGGGTTGATTCAAGGCGGTGTACACATGAGAGAGCTTGAAGTCGATAAGGCGCAGGGTAGCGTGGCCAGCTACATAGAGTCATGTTGAAGGTGGAGCTGGAGTCTGATGGACGACTTCACTCTATGCTGATGGAGGGGCTACGCCGTAAATGCATGGAGAGTCGAAGCCTATTTCAGCGGGATAGCGAGAGACACGTGGATCGGACTGGGGCCCAGTGGTCTGATGGAGGCGTGATACTCGGCATCGGTCGGTGTTGATCGATGGTTCTCTGCAGCGGGAGTTGAGACAGTGGGGGCTAGCTACCCGGGAGACTCGACCAGGACAGCAGAGACTCGACGCGGTGATAGCGGCGAGGCGTGCGGTAAGCACAGGACATAGCGACAGACCAAGGCACTGGTGGTCATACATGTGATCAGACAAAGTGTGCAAGGGTGCTGAAGCAGTGTTGACGAGTACCGGATTCAAGTTGGTGACTGGGTCTATCAGTGCCGGTTGATGGACAGGAGTTGACCATGGAGAATCTGAGAAAGTGGCGGAAAGTCTGAAATTGTCAAAAGCTAAGAGATTACGTGGCCGTATATTCTGTGGTGTTCAGTGCACATGGCAAAGTGCGGATGACAAGTATAGAAGGAGGCAGACTGCTATAGCTATGGGACATGTCAGAGACTATTCGGGAAAAGGGTGAGACAACTGTGAATTTGACTCAGGGTGACACGGGGTGACGGTGAAATTCCGTCAAGTTTCAGATAGACGGTCAAGAAAGAGCGGTGGCATTGAGTTCAGGTAACTCTTATATGTGGCATCCAATATGCGAGTTGTTCATTTTCACGCAGACAGTGATCGGTGTGTGATAGTGTTGAATGGATCTCGGAAGTTGGGAGCACAAAATAGAGTAATGAGGAACTTAATTTTGCTCGAGGGTTGACTGTGAAGAAGACGAGAAGGGACTACAGTTGCAGGTGGAGTCACATGGAGTCTGGGAGTAGCAGCGCTGCTCATGGCGTATCTCAAGTCCAATGTACATGGAGGTTCGACGCACGGACGAATTCAAGGTGGTGGAGAATATTCGCCAAGGTGGAGTTTGTTAGAGTTGTGTCGAATATTATTGTACAAGTTAGGTTACAGTTGGACTTGGAGTCGTACTGTGTGTAGACAGGGTAGGAGTTGTGTCCTAATAGGACACTTGTACCCAAGGCCTCTCATATATAGCGGGTTTAGATACAAGATGTAACCTATGCCAACATAATAGTACGGGCACGCGGGGGGAGCCGGCGGCGTGTGCCGGCGCCCGGGCGGCTGGGGTGCGGTATTGTGACGGTGTTATGGGGAGGAGCGCTCGTAGTTATACCCCGGGGATGTAGCCATGATGGTGAACCTCGTTAACAAATCTCGATATCGTGCTCGTGTGATTGCTTGGTCCTCGGATGATCAACGGTATGCCTCGGATTTATTCTAACAGCAGCTGACTCATCGTCGGTGCTTGCCGTCGTCGTGGCAGAAAAGCCGTCGGCCCGCCTAGCAACAAGTAGCAGCAGACAGCCAGCTTGCCTAGCTCGTCGTCTCGTGGCCGCTGCAACACCCGGACGGCCTCGCATCCTGCAGCGCGGCCAGGTCCGTCCAGCGGCACACCTCCATGGAGAGAGAGAGAGAGAGAGAGAGAGAGACGTGAGGGATTGGGGAAAGCAGCGCCAAGGTCATGTGTGTGTGTAAAGATAACGCGAAGTGGTTTCCAGACTTGGCCTGCAGGGCCCATAGGACGCGTGAAAGACGGCGGATGTGTAGCTGTTTTTCGGCCGGCTGATTCACAGCGTTTCCCATATAATAAAGCACCAGAAAGTTGTAACACCTGAAACCAGAAAAACATTGCCAAAGTCATATATGCATCAGCATCGATCTGTGCATGTTATGGTATAGATGGTCTGCTTAGGACTAGGTATGGTAGTTTGCTGGCATTATATATCTACTAGTAAAGTATATTCCGGATCGGATGGGAACATGTCTCATCGAATAAACGGGGGCCGTAAGAAAACGTTGTAAAAGAAGAGGGAGGCCCGGCGGAAACGAACCAAGTAAACCCTAAAACTAAACTTCACTCGAATCGAAGAGGGATGGAGAGTGGCGGCAGCCCCTCGCGCACAACCGGCGGCGCGGTCACCCCGACGAGCGGCTGGATGGGAGCGACGGCGGAGAGCGGTAGCTCCTCCACGCGCACAGCCGATCGCACGGTGATCCGGATGGGCCCCGTGCCGCCCCTTCCCGTCGTGCCTTCGCGGAAGAGAATCTTGGACCGCTCCCACCGCCCCGACGGCGGCGTGACAATCAAGCCGCTCCTGGCGGACAGCAAGCATCGTGATGGATCCATCCTGCGTGAATCATGTTCGTGGCATAAAATGTATCGTATGAACATCACGGACGAGAGTAAGTCTGATCTCATCTGTTTCTATTCATATCAAAATCCTAAAAAGGTTACCTTTCTATGCTAAATTAGGAGGATGCCAAAAACTTCCATGTTTTATTGGATTATATTATTGTTTATTTTACTTTTACCAGCAATTTATGTATTGAGCTGGGGAGTACACCAAAACTATGCGCCAATTCCTAATTCAAATGATAACTTAGGTTGTGTGCGTCATATGAGTTTGTTGTGCTTATTAGGTGGCTTTTTTACCCAAATTTTAAGATTATGATGCCATTCTTTGAGCGCTGAAGATTATCATACCTAATTTTTTTTCTAGCCTTAGGAAACACTAGGTATAAATTAAGCACCTGGTTTTGTCGTACAAGTATATGCTTTAGTAATTTCATTTGTTGTCATCAAATTAATGCATGTACAATGTTTCTATTGCTGCTCTCAGCTTCTGTGGAGCCAATGATGATGTCAAAGAAACCCAACTGCCAGCCGTACTCGCGGGACTGTCAGATGCATGGATATTGTAATATGATGCAGATATACTGGCTGAAGCTAGCATATATTTCTGTTGATTCCTTCTATGGCCCAGTTCAGGTGTATGGATTCTTGGCTGCCCGAGACATCCTGAACCCAAGGCGTAATTACCTGTTCAACCGCGGCAGAGATGATCCATTGGAAATAGTTCAGGATGATGATTGGTTGAACAAATGTCTGGCCCCAAGAGAGGCATTGAAATGACATCTCCTGTGCTGGTTGAGTTCGACATGAGGATCAAGATTGGAGAAAGAGAAGAAGATGACCTACAGCTCATTGACGGGGCCGTCAGCTTCAGCGACATGGACCCGCCGATCAACATGGCCTTCACACGACGGCTCTGTGGTGAGGGCGGGGCGGTGGACATAAATCTAGCACATATGTATGAAGCAGCAGAGGCCACAATACAGGTTCGGATATCAGAAGCATGCGACAGTGGCTTGAGCTTGTGCCTGACGGCTTCTGGCAGCGCATTACAACATCAGGCCCGTCTCTTCGATGGCATTGTGGGCGAAACACCATGTGACCTAGGCAAGTTTGTGTTCGCTGTGATGAGCCTCACCAAATTGGTTGTATTATTGAAGGTTGGCCGCGGCGGTGGCTCGGATTGTGTTTATCGTTCTCATCTCTTTGATGTTCAGAAGCATGGAGATTCGACCGTGAGTTTCAAGATTCCCGACATGGTCACTATAGAGGTGAAGGTGACTTGGTCAACTTTGGACATCCCTGACAGTGCACTAGAAGAAGACAATCGCTACAACTAGAGGAAGGAACTTAGAAGTGATGATGATGACGACGACTATGAGTATGATTGGAATGATTATTAGCCAACAGTTTTGTGTCCTGGCTATATGTATAAACTTGCTCTCTTTATGGCTAGATTTCTTGTTGGGCACTTTGGAAATGTCGGGATGTTGTTGTTGTGTATGTGGAATTATCTCTGTGTGTTGTCTTGTATTGTTGGTGATAGATATTATTTTGAGAGAAGTCCATATTCAGCCATGGACTATCACAAATGTCTAAAAGGCAACGCTGAATGTCAAAACCGATCAAGTTTCAACCCCGCCCTCTCCTTAGACCGTTTTTTGGTGGGTTGAAGTGGTTTTGGCCAGTTGACTGCTTAGTCAGCTGGCGTCACCTAGTATTTTGCTGGATATATCTATTTTGCTTGTATTTTTTAATCTGTTTGATATATAAAAGTTTTAACTTTTCCATACTTATCACCATGTTAGTGTTGATTTTACAGAATGTTATCAATTTTTTGAAGTATTTATTTTTCTTGTATTTTTTATGTTTGGCAAAAAGGTTTGAAACTATCCATAATTATCATCATGGTAATATTTTATTTTAAAAATCTGGACACTTCATTTTTTTAACAAAAAGGCGGTCAAAATATTTATTTTGCTTCTATTTTTTAATCTGTTTGACAAAAAGTTTTGAAACTTCCATAAACTGATCATCATGGTAGTGTTGATTTTGCAAATTTGTCTCAAAGTTTTTTTGGACACTTCCATTGTTTAGTCAAATTTTGACCAAAATGGGTTGAATTTGTACGTTTAACCTGTTTGGCAAAGAAGTTTGAACCTTTCCCATAATGGTTATCATCGTAGTGCTAATCTTACAAAAGTTTTTCAATTATTTTTGGACACTTCCAATTTTGTGGCGTGGCAGCTAACTGGCAGCTCATGGGCCGGTCAACTGAAACTTGACCGGTTTTGATAATTCATGGTTGTAACTAGACAGTTTGAAAGTTCATGGTTGATTCATAGACATTTGTAATAGTTCAGGGTTGAAATATGAATTTCTCTCATTCATCGCCCCAGCCCATGGCAGCTCGGGGGCGCTCCTCTCCCAATCCGAGGAGCCGCCGCTTCATCCCCTCCATCTCCTTGCACCGTCGCCGGCGAAGCCTGTGCTGACGACGGTGGCGGCGAGGGGCTTCTTTGCGGCTTCCCTGGATCTGGGGGCGGCGGATCCAGGTGGTGGTTGGTGGTGCCTCGCATCGTAGGTGCTCTGGCAGGTGGCGGCGGGGCTCGCCGGGTTGCGTGCTCGTTGGGCTCGTCTGGTTGCGCTGCTCCTTGCGGGGGCATCGCACTTTGGGTCATGGCGTGCTTAGGGCTGCGGCGGTCGCGGCAACCTTGAGTGACACATGTTGCTCTCCTCACCGGTAGGGCGCACATCTGCATCTTCATTTGGCTGCCCTGCAACTGGCGGGACTGTAGGCGTGGTGGTGTTACGTGGGTGCTTGGGGGAAAAATTGACAAATTTGACCTATGGACGAAATCAAATCACAGAATGAACTGCCCGTGAAACTATTTCACGCGGCTGACCTTTTTGTGTGACTCCCGGCACAAAGGCGCCACACTACACTGTGCAACGCCTCACAGATAGGCGCTACACGCCTGGCCAGCGTTGCACCCCAGACTGCCTAAAAATTGCTAAGTCTATGTTTGATTGTAGATAGATGGCTCGTGCTGTTGTTCCGTTGAATTTTAATGCGTTCCTTGAGAAAGCAAAGTTGAAAGATGATGGTAGCAATTACACGGACTGGGTCCGTAACTTGAGGATTATCCTCATTGCTGCACAGAAGAATTACATTCTAGAAGCACCGCTAAGTGCCAAGCCTGCTTCAGGAGCAAAACCAGATGTTATGAACGTCTGGCAGAGCAAAGCTGATGACTACTCGATAGTTCAGTGTGCCATGCTTTACGGCTTAGAACCGGGTCTTCAAAGACGTTTTGAATGTCATGGAGCATATGAGATGTTCCAGGAGTTGAAGTTAATATTTCAAGCAAATGCCCGGATTGAGAGATATGAAGTCTCCAATAAGTTCTATAGCTACAAGATGGAGGAGAATAGTTCTGTCAGTGAACATATACTCAAAATGTCTGGGTATCATAATCACTTGACTCAACTGGGGGTTAATCTTCCTGTTGATAGTGTCATTGACAGAGTTCTTCAATCACTGCTGAAAGTGTTGGGGAACGTAGTAATTTCAAAAAATTTCCTACGCACACGCAAGATCATGGTGATGCATAGCAACGAGGGGAGAGTATGATCTACGTACCCTTGTAGATCGCAACGGAAGCGTTGACACAACGTAGAGGAAGTAGTCGTACGTCTTCTTCCCGATCTGACCGATCCAAGCACCGTTACTCCGGCACCTCCGAGTTCTTAGCACACGTACAGCTCGATGACGATCCCCGGGCTCCGATCCAGCAAAGCTTCGGGGAGGAGTTCCGTCAGCACGACGGCGTGATGACGATCTTGATGTTCTACCGTCGCAGGGCTTCGCCTAAGCACCGCTATGATATGACCGAGGTGGAATATGGTGGAGGGGGGCACCGCACACGGCTAAGGAACGATCTCAATGATCAACTTGTGTGTATAGAGCTGCCCCCTGCCTCCGTATATAAAGGAGCCAAGGGGGAGAGGTGCGCCGGCCAGGAGGAGGGCGCAGGAGGAGTCCTACTCCTACCGGGAGTAGGACTCCCCCCCCCCAATCCTATTCCAACTAGGATTCCCAAGGGGGAAAGAGGGAGAGGGGTGGCCGGCCACCTCTCCTAGTCCTAATAGGACTAGGGGAGGGGGGAGGCGTGCAGCCCTTATGGGCAGCCCTTTCACCTTTTCACTAAGGCCCAATAAGGCCCATATGACTCCCGGGGGGTTCCGGTAACCTCCCGGTAATCCGGTAAAATCCTGATTTCACCCGGAACACTTCCGATGTCCAAACATAGGCTTTCAATATATCAATCTTTATGTCTCGACCATTTCGAGACTCCTCGTCATGTCCGTGATCACATCCGGGACTCCGAACAACCTTCGGTACATCAAAATGCATAAACTCATAATAACTGTCATCGTAACGTTAAGCGTGCGGACCCTACGGTTCGAGAACAATGTAGACATGACCAAGACACGTCTCCGGTCAATAACCAATAGCGGGACCTGGATGCCCATATTGGCTCCTACATATTCTACGAAGATCTTTATCGGTCAAACCGTAGAACAACATACGTTGTTCCCTTTGTCATTGGTATGTTACTTGCCCGAGATTCGATCGTCGGTATCCAATACCTAGTTCAATCTCGTTACCGGCAAGTCTCTTTACTCGTTCCGTAATACATCATCTCACAACTACCACATTAGTTGTAATGCTTGCAAGGCTTATGTGATGTGCATTACCGAGAGGGCCCAGAGATACCTCTCCGACAATCGGAGTGACAAAACCTAATCTCGAAATACGCCAACCCAACATGTACCATTGGAGACACCTGTAGTACTCCTTTATAATCACCCAGTTACGTTGTGACGTTTGGTAGTACCCAAAGTGTTCCTCCGGTAAACGGGAGTTGCATAATCTCATAGTTATAGGAACATGTATATGTCATGAAGAAAGCAATAGCAACATACTAAACGATCGGATGCTAAGCTAATGGAATTGGTCATGTCAATCAGATCATTCAACTAATGATGTGACATCGTTAATCAAATAACAACTCATTGTACATGGTTAGGAAACATAACCATCTTTGATTAACGAGCTAGTCAAGTAGAGGCATACTAGTGACACTTTGTTTGTCTATTTATTCACACATGTATTATGTTTCCGGTTAATACAATTCTAGCATGAATAATAAACATTTATCATGATTATAAGGAAATAAATAATAACTTTATTATTGCCTCTAGGGCATATTTCCTTCAGAAAGAACATGTGGTGCCCCCATGTTTGGTTTTGGAAATTGATGACAATCTCTATGGACTAATGGTTGCCTTGAGTTATATTTGAAGGTTTTGTCCATAGGCTTTTCTTGGAGTACATGTGTTGGTTTCAAGAAAAGTTTGTGTCGACCAAGGTGCTATTCAAGGAATTATCCAAAGATTGGTTCTTTGAGAGTTGAGCTTATTGCAAGCATGTCTTGAAGAAGAAGATTGTGTGATCATTCATGTTTACCTTCAAGACATCATCCAAACGAAGAGAGTTGGAAAGATTCAAGGTTGATCAAGACTAAGTCAAGAGTGAATCAAGTTGATCAACTCACAAAGCATAGAAGATGTACCGAGAGGGATCAAGTGATCCCATGGTTTGGTAAGCATTGTCCATTGTGCTTTGTGTACTAACCCATGGTCTATGTGAGAGTTCTACGTGGGGTTAGGTACATGTTCATGGGCTTGTGTCAAGAGGAAGATATCTCTCAACCCATGGAGAGGATGACATCAAGTGGTGATCGTCATCAAGATTGCCGTGTGCAAGTTCAAGTGGATCATCGCGAAGAGATCAAGTGCTTGAAGCTTGCCGGCCATTGTGGTGACAATGGACTTGTGAAGATGTGCCGAAGAGTGGCTCACCCATAGTGGTCTATGGGGGAGCAATCATCTAGTCTTCATCGTGCCAACACAATCAAGAAAGGTGGTCCAACTTGAGGAAGTCAAGATCATCATCATCTAGCTCAAGTGGACCATGTGTAAGGCAAAGGTTTGCCCTTGATAGGTTTTCTATTTTACCGGTCTCATGATGGTAGTTGGGAGACCGGGTTATAGGATCGATTGCCGTACTATCAAGGGGGGCTCTCGATGAGTAGCTTGATTGTATCGTTCGTAGAGAGCTCAAACCATTGCATCCTTGCATCATCTTTCTTGGTTCTTGTTTGGTTCTCTTTGTGAGTCTTAGAGCTTATGGTCATCTTGATGACAAGCTTGAGTTCATCGAAAACGGAGTTCGCATGCTTCTTCTATGATGTTTTCGATGTTGGAGGTTTTG